ATGACAGGATGTGAGACCCAATATAGGGGAGATCTATAGTCATCATCAAAGTGTATACAAGCTTATTAGCTTTATGAGCATGGCATAAAATTGGCAAATAAAGGGTATGTTCTACCACTTTCAAATCTTTGCAAGGTAAATACAATCAACTAAGGTGGTTATCATTTTAAAATCACTAACATTGAGTGGCTTATGGTAAACAATGACATTTCGAATTTGTGATTTGCGATGTCATTAATTTTAGCAATGATAACTTATTGTAGCTGATGTCTAGTATCCATCACTGAAATTCAGTGCTCAATAAGATTTTTGTTACGGATATCCATTGAAATTGTGCTTCCAATGGTGCACTTTTCTTTTACAGTTTTGTCCTTTTTGTGGCTGTTCTATCGCTGGCCTCCACTGAGTATAAGACCTGCAGCCGAAATAGAAAAACATTATTTAAAAAAGAAAACTATGGATTAAATTCAATTATTCAAATACAAATATTACATTCAACTGCATACAGTGACACACCCACCACAGACAGAAAACAAAAATTTTAAACACACTTTGTAGTTGAAAGTGAAATTTGTTGACTTGCTGCTATCGGCTTGATTCAATGACTGAGGGACAGTAATCTTAAAAATTTTGGTATGTCAAAATCAAATTAAAATTTTGATTTGACCAAAATTCAACTGTGGATAAAATCTTCGAGACATTGTTTTTAAATATTTTGATTTGACAATTCTGTAGAAAAAATGTTTAATACCCTCATACTACACTTGTAGTATTTGAAATTCTTCTATCGTTTTTAATATTTTCTAACAAGTTATAATATAAAAATAACAAATTTTTCTTTATTCTACTCCCAACAGTATGCAATCATTTTTACAGAACTAAGCAAATATGATGTACATAGGATGAAGCAACATAAATTGAATAATTGCTACATAAGCACTTGTTACGTACTTTAAAAGGATAATTTTTTTTTCCATTTTTTCCAATATTTTGAAAGCTAAATTTAGATGAAAAAATTTATAAAAAAAGAAGTTTCTTTGGATATTTGTACAGTTTCGTATGAATCTCAAATTATGGGTGAGTTATTTGGTATATGGTACATCTTTAAAGTAGGAAGAGTTAATTCCTATTAAAATTTAACTTATTAAGTGAAAAGTAAATAATAAGTTAAACTAATCAATGTTTTAGAAGTAATGCCGGGGATATGGTGATCGTATGCTAATCAATCTGCTTTAGAAAGCTCCCAATCCTTGGTTAAAGGAGAGAAACAATTAAAGGAGTAAAGTAGCAACATCTATAGTCTTCTAAGAGCAAGAGTAGTAATAATGTGTTCCCCTCATTTGAATGAATGAAGATATGTTAATAGAAGTATAGTCTTGAATGTAATATATATTTTGTTGATTAAAGAACAAAAGTAACAAAGTAACTTGTGAAGCGTTAAAAGGATTGGACAACGTACAGATGAGAGTTAAAAAAGCGTTAAAAAGTTTTTAAGTAAAAATTATAATTAATAACATTGAAATAAATGTGAATTTATAAATATTTTAATATAAAACAAACCTGTTATTATATTTTTAATTTGTAATGATGAGTTTATTTAAGTTATTTTGTAAGATAAATAACTTTATTTTAAATAGATTAATGAAATTTTATCTTAAAAAAATAAAAAATTAATAATTTTTTTAATACAATATCTTTAACTTCACAAAAAGACGACATTTTTTTTACCATCAACAGTCAAAATTATCAATATAAAAAGTATGTACACGAAGAGAAGAGAAGTTAAAAATAAGGTTGAAGGGATTGATGTGATAGTTTTCCGTATGTTATTGTCAAACATGATTATTCAGTATTATAAACGTGAGTTTGATAAAGTTGAAAAGTAGACCAATTTAATAGGATTAACTATTGACTTATAAATATCAATTATACCATAACTATAAGAATCTAACCAAATCTAAATACATTAATCATTTGCTTTTCAACTTCATAACTCTATTTAATACAGTTTGTCTTTAAAATTTTAAGAGTGTGTTAGGATATATAATTTATTTAAATATTTATTTAATAACATTTTTAAAATAATAATTTGTGTTACATTCAACATAATAAATTACACTAAATTTTATTAAAATAAATTAAAATAGACTAAGGGTAAGAATGGACATACAGTTAAGAGTCAAAGTCATTTTTTAGTAAAATATAAAAAATTATTATATTTGTAATCAGTTGGTTCATTCATCACCGACATCTTTAACAAAATCAATGCAAACATATCATTAGATTACAAACATTAACTTAGGCATAGCTGTTGCTATGGAGGTTTGTAATGGCAATTTGATCACTATTTTTAAGAAACTATTAGGCAAAATTGTAGCATTAGAACAGTGAGTTGTCACATTTTCCAACCAAAACAGAGAAAAAAGAGAGCCTAGTGTTTTTTATGTACACATGGACCACATAACTAGGCTTCTTTCTTCATGGCCATAGTAGATGGAGTAGAAAAGGACATGCACTTGTACCAGTTTCAATTCGGCAAATAGTGAGAAATGGGGACACTCCAACCACTCACTTGCCAAATTGAGATATTTAATAGTATGTACGGATAAAAAGGAGGATAAATCATTCAAATTGGTTAATCTCTCTCTGTTTCTTTCTTATATTTAATTTTCACAAATGTTTTATGCGCATGGTGTATGTGAAACTAAAAAAATTGGGTGCAACTAACATTTTTCTGCTTGTGTTAATTAACTTGCCATATTCAACACAATATAGAGAGAAAAAACCTCATCAATTGTAAATATCAATCAAATGGATGACTTGATTAGAATTCTCATGGAAATATTGTTCTACCTTTTATTGCTCTTTAAACCACAAATTAGATTGAATGAATGAGTTTTATGACAATGTAAAATTTACTTTATTTTAATACACTAAAAAATAAAACGAATTTAGATATGGTATAACATAAAATTTTAAAAATAATAATTTTTGAGTATTAAGGTTAGAATCCTTTCATCCATCTTCTTATGTAATATAATTTGCTCTTGATTTAAGTCATGTCCCTTAATTGTAGTAAAATTCATTCAATTAGGTTACATTTAATTTCTTAATACTTAAACTCACTTTGTTTAATGCATGAGTCCTAATTTCTTAAGTGAACATAAATCAAACATGCGTTAAAAGATTTTCAATTTTTTTTAATTACTCGGTTCTATATCTAAAATTTTAAACAGTTAATGTGATTCACTTCAAGTAATAACTAAAGAACTAATTTTTCAATTGTGAAATTAAGTTTAGTTTCATCTCTTAGGAGGTCAATACAAGAGAAGCATAAAACACAAAGGAAATCACACAATTAAGATAAATAAATTCAAATTGAGAAAAAAGAATCAAATTACCCAAGATTTATAATGAAATTCTCCTCCCCTAGATCAGTTTTGAAAGTGAAAATGAGAAAAAAAGTAGAAAATTTATGTCAGTATAAATATTTATACTAAGTCTTCTAACGAGTAGTATGAGTATGCAAGTAATTTTGCGTGAACAGATAAATTAAAGTAGTGTAGATGATAATGGCGGCTTAGGTTGCCTTGTCTTCCGAAGCATTTGGCAGCCATTTGTTAACCTTAGTTGCCATAAAACAGATGACAAAAGATTAGTTGAATGCTTCGGCCAATAAGAAAGTGGAGAATTAACTGAAAATGATATTTTATATATCCTAAAACTCTCACTTACTACCATTCTTATTTTATCTATCCCCACAACCGTCCTAATTATCATAGCCTTTCCTTCAAATTAACAAGTCTTGCTCTAGTTTGTCTTTTTACCTTTTTATTTATTTATTTATTTATTTAATTGGATTCAATATTATATCCAAATAAAGTGCTTATTATTTGCAAATCAATATAGTACTAGTATTATGTGAGCACTAAGTGCAAAGTTTGACGCTAAACTTAAAGAGCACAATAAAACAACCGACTATTTTGATTATATATATATTTATTCACTGTTCAGAAAATAAATAACGTTCCAGAGGCTTCTTAGTTTCGTGCAGGGCGTCCTTCACTCCCAACCACTTTTTTATTTGCAATTTTCTAGCAATCATTCAATGTCATCATCCAAGGAAGGAAACAATTTGTTATAGTCCATTTCAAGTGAGACTTTTTCGTTTTATACCACTATTCTAGAAATTAAATTTTGAAAATTATTTTGAAATTTAATTTTCAAATGTGATTAATATCTTCTGAAATTTTATATCTAGAATATAAATTAAAAAAAGTATTATAATTAGCAAAAACTGGAAAGACCCTGAAACCTTCTGAAAGAAGCGTTAAAATAAGCCCAAAATATTGGCCCACAGATGCTGGTTGAGATCATTGAAGCCTTGAAGAGTGAAGAGAAAGGAACGAGATGGCTAGTCATCCCAAATCCACCTGTTTATAAGCAAAAGAATATACCTAAACTCCAACATTCATTTTGCTATTTCAGTTTCAAATTGGATGTATGTCCCCAAATTGCTGAAAAGAAACATCTTTTTATTTTTTATTTTTTATTTTTATGGTGTATTGTAAAAAATAGTTTAGTTAAAGCACTTATCACATTGATAAGAAAAATAAAATATACGCATCTAGCGAGTGCTTGAATTCATATTAAACTAACTCTAAATCATCTAAATTCATAGAAAAAAAACGTAAATTCATTACTCTAAAAACATTGAAGTGCATAGCTTCAATATTTTTTTTCAAATATCATAACCGCCGTATTTTTATTACAAGAAATTAAAAGCCACAAAATACATTACAGTATGGCAAAGCTGAATTGAAATTTTACAAATATACATTACAATTTAACATTTGTTAATAATCATTCAACGACGCCAGAATATACAGGAAAATATTATCAATTATTGTTACCCAAAAAGTTAAATCAATTTTCTGATAAAGTATTGGACGTTATCACATCACACACGCACTACACCATACAGACCTATAAGCAGGTGGTAGTAATGTATATTTTAATTTGTGCGCAAATAGCCGCACACAGAACCCAATCATCATTTGGAACAATAAGGAAGATAGAAATCACTGGTTTCCAGCCAAGAATATATTAACATAACGAAACGACTTCATTTACTCTCTTAGACTATGAACATAACGACACAATAATTTTTAACGTCTCACTCAGCAGAATGTTACACACAACCAAATGAAGCAGATGTTGCCATGTCTGGAAAAAAGTGGAGGTCCAGTGACGTATGAATGGTACACAAACTAAGCAAAAGATTTTTCTGACAAACTTCTGGCCTCTACATCATTGCCCACAAAAATAATCCTTGAAATTCAACCTGTTGTGGTTTTGGAGCAATCCAAAGTGATCACATGATGGTGCAGCGGCTCCTTTCTTCAGGAGGCTGTGAGTTTACTTGCTGGAACCTGTGTGATTCGGATGGGTTGTAGGTAAATTCTGAAGTATCCAGCCCATACTGCATAGGGAGCACTATCAGTACAATTTCACAATTCATAAAACAATTTGAAAGCTTGAATATGAAGGGGAAAAAAAAAATTAACAAATAGGATTCCATTTTAGGATGGTGCACAAAGTTATGCTGTTAAAAGCTTTTACTGGAAGTAAAAAAATTAATACGGTATTTTCTTGTTTTCTTGTAGAGTGAAAAATAGTAGAGACTATGACAGTGAAAAATAGTAGTACACTAAAAGTGGATCAAATTTAAACTTAACTTTAAAGCTGCAATATTTAATATTTTAGTTTAAAGAAAAACATCCTTTTTTAATAGAAATAGATTTACTTATAAATATAATTTAAATTTAGTGTAACAAAAAGAAAGACATTAAATGCTAAATACTTAAAGCTACATAGATGTTATCCACATTTTTTATTTGGTTTAACTTTATCTAACTAAAAGAGAGGTCAAGCTATGGCAAGTGAGTGCCCAAAGGACAACGAAATATCACTGAAATTTTAAAAACATTGTGGAGGAGTTGAGCTTGCTAGTAGTTGAAGTGTATTTGGAGGCAGGAGGGTATACACAATTACACTTGTTATGGAAAAAGACAAGGGAAACCATGAACCTCCTTGTTCCAAGAGACCTTTGCCACCGGTTATAAGAGAACAGTCAAGACAAGCAAATGAAAATTTTCCCCTAACAAGAATAATATATAAACTGAAAGCATTGCACCTTCTCCCTCATCCGTGTACTCCATGCATCATTTCTGCTTGGACGCTGATCACCTGTGCCAGCAACTGGTACACCTGATGCTGGGCCTGCTGGTCTGTTGAGCAAAGGCTGACGGGTTTGCTGCCTTGGATTAATGTACTCTTCATCACTATCATACTCTGGTGGCTTATTCGCAGCCCTAACAATAAGGGCTAACACAAAAAGAAGAGCCTGCAATTCCATAAAAATAACAATTGGCATATATTCATATTATTACCTATATAAAGCTTTTCTATTGTTGGTCCTCAGTCATCAAGACTCTTTTAAGGCATGTGACAACATACCACATTACACCAACAGATATTTTAAGGCATCTCACAGGCACTTCTTTTTCCAAAATTTCTGAATTGCAAAGTAGAAGATTATTGAATTAGTAAAATTTTCCTCTTTTAACCTTATCCATACTCCATTTCCTCTCCCTATTCTTGCCACTTTTTCTTTCTCCTAGAATCAATTAATATCAGAACTACTTTTTCTTGTGAATTGTAAAAAATATTGAATCAAAAGAACCAACGAAACTGTGAAAAATAGCTCGAAATATATCATCATATAAATGATATATACTCTAGTGTTCAATGTAATATTTTTAAACTTGGAATTGAAAATTGAAAGAACAACATAATCGTATCATAACTGAGTCTGTTAAATCACTATTTCAGAAGAATGAAAACAGAGCAATGAAACAATTAAATAGAGAGCATAAAATGAGTGAGTGACTATGTGGAACTATTTTAGAAGAATAACAACAAAGCAATAGAAATGTAGAACAATCAAATAGGGTGCATGTGTGTTCAGTGCTCCTTCAATTTCTTTTCATTTAAGAATTTAAGCTCATTGGCCTTTTCATTTTCTTTTATGGGAATTGGTGAAGGAAAAGAAAAGAAAAGAAAAAACAAATCGCTGAACCATGTGATTCATGTTAGTGATTCACACCTGCAGGTCTTGTGATACAAATCGCTGGCTTGGTGAATCATATTGAAGTGTGAGAACCATGCAATTCTAATTATTATGATCCAAAATAAGGTACTACGTCTTAGCATCGTTTCTAAAAGTGATTGTTTGGCTGTAGTGCTTGCACATATTCTCTATGGGTACATGCACAAGGACATAAGCATGTCCATTAAACAATACCGCTCCCTTGCAAATGTTGATCACATCACTTCTTGCTTACCTCAAAGATAACAATTCCAAGAGCAACCCATTGCACAATTTTCCAGTTCTCTCTCAGAAATCCGTATATCATATCAAAAGCTCCAGTTTTGTCCTTGGGAATTTCCTGAAAGAAATATAAATATAAGACAAAAAAATTATAATTTTCCTTAATTTCATATCACAATTACCAGCAACAACTTACTTCTTTCCAGCTTTTATCAAAAAATATAAAGGCTGCACATCCCAGCTCTACTAAGATCAACAACAACACCAAAACTGAATACTTTGTTGGATTAAGGAAGCTATTAACACTTCAAGATTAATGCACACACACGCCAGGGGGGGGGTGGTGTTGGAAGAGAGCCCATTAGATTTTCTTGGCTGTAGCATAAGACATTCTAAAAGGATACAAAGCTCAGGCAGCATCCATTCCGTGTCACAGCTCCAATGCAACCAAAACAAGAAATGATGAAAAGAATTACCCCAATTCCAATAAATACATAAATAAACCTGCCAAACATGAAATACACAATCAATGTAAGGGCAAAGACAATATAGTTTGAGCTGTATGAACTTATTTTCTTAAAAATGTTTATGTACAGGTGTAATATTATTAGTGATTGTCTTTGTCACACAAATACATACGTGTCACCAGTAGATCTAAAAAACACCATTACATGCAAAAGAAATAGAGGTTATTTCGAATTTAGAAAGTTATAAAACAAGTTTATCTGAAGTTTGTTTTCTTCAACACTAACAACAATAAGTAAAGCACCGATTACACCAAATAACAAAGGATGCTTCCAACTATTACATAACCACAATCAATTGGTAAGCCATTCTAAAATCTCCAAATAGCTGCTCTCACTGAACCTCACCAGATTGAAAGCTTGAGATGTAAGCCATGTCAATGAAGCTGATTGAAGAGATTTGCTTCCTATGAGTTAAGTAATTTTGGCAGCAAGTCCTAATCATATTTCACCCATTATTGGTTCTAAAGCAAGTTGGAATGAGCTTTACTCTTTTAACTGTAGACTTTTAACTTAGAGATACAATGCTAAATTAAACACCCCCCTCCCCCTGAAAAGGACAGGCTTTAATTTCAGCACAACTCACTTCAGCAGATAAAACTCAGCAAACACTAACAAAAACAATACACATTACTAAATTGGTATGCCCAGGAATTGGCAGAAGACGAGCAGCATTCATACCAAGCCTTGGGCAAATCATCAAAAAAATTGTTGGACAGAGACACTGCCATAAGCATGGGTCGGCCAAGTTGAACAAGAGTTTGGTCATCACTGACAGTAGAAACAGTGAGAGTATTATCTGGAGCTTGATTGTATTCAACCAGCAGATAGATCCCATAGCCCACCATGGCCAGACCAACAAGGGTCATTATGAAGTTCAAAAGCTTCAAAAGACACTCCCAGCAACCCCTACAAGCCATCCTCCTCCTCCTGTAATTGCACTTCAATCCCTCAACCAAAATTCAAAAGCGTGGCCAGTGTCCAATATTATCTACTATTCTGCACACAAAAAAAGCGGCCTTCCCATTAACCATCACTGATAACTGGAAAATATCATAGCAACAATAAGACCCCAAATTCAGGTTTAATTTTAAGACAGATAACACACTTATGGTCCATCTACTACCTTAATAGTAGGCACAAAAACAATAACAACAACTTTAGTATTTCAATGTACATATAATTTATATAAATCTAACATCAGGGATTCCAGATGAGAATTGCGCTGGCATATTCGAGAACGTAGCTTATTTTCGTCAATCTTTATTCAGAAACCAAATAGAAAGCCTAAGAAGAGATTCTGTAACAGAAAGCAATATTTTTTTTTTTCTGCGAATGCTAATTCCAAATTATATCTCCCATTTAAAAAAAATAAAAAATTGATCAAGTTGCAAAGAATACAAGTGACCATAATCTCCAATAAATTCTAGCTCAGAAAATCATTGAGGATTCATTCAACCAAAAGGACATAAATTTAATTGATAAAGCGAAAAAAAAAAAAAGTAAAAGGGGCAAAGGTTTAAAGAAGAAAAAATGGTAAGAAAATCCTAAATGTCGAGGAGAGCTGCGATGCATAGAAACTGCAATTACTCACTGAGAATCGGCGATTTCTACAGCAATCGATTAACAAGTTGCCCTTTTTCTGAGACTCTTGGGATCACGCACCCACTGAAAACGAGAAAAATAAACGGCGACTCACTGGAAAGAGAAAAAAACAACGACAGAAACAGTAAATGACATTAATGCCCTTTCCTGTCATAAGTTTCGTTAGTATTTAACGACGTCATAGTTCGATGTCGTTTTATAGGCACACTTGCATTTCGTAATTAATTTCAATTGGACAACATGGGATAATCATTTTTTTTCAGGGACTTTGTCGCACTATCTCCATTTCAAATCAAATACTCCTATTTTTATAACAACAATAAATAATTAAATTAATGTTTCACACATTAAATTAGTAATATATTTATTTATATAATAAAAAATAAATATCTCATTAATATAAATTTTACAATATAAATACATACAAAAATTAATCATTATTACATCTTAAAATAAGTTGTTATTTTTATAATTTTAAAAAAATTGTTAGTAGTTAATTCTAATCTGGCATATTTTAATAAATAAAGTACATTATATATTAAATAAAAATACATATATTTATAAATTTAAAGTGTAAAATCTTTTATATTTATTAAATAATTAAAAAAAAAGTGCCACCGGTTATTTTAGAAGTTAAAACAGTAATGAATGTAAATGATGGTGTGGCGTTGTGACGACCCTAAAGCCTTGTTTGGCAAATACTCCACTGTCGCCAATGTTTCACTTTATTCTTTTCGTTATTATTCCTAAACATACCATTATCCATATTCCATTAATTATCATATCCTATATTTGCTATTTATTTTTATATGCAAAATTTTGTTGCTTAGCCACACGTGTAGGAGGCATTGGTTACATTGATTGATTCAAATCTTGTGGACGGTGGGATTTGGTGTTTTACCTGTAATTATCTATGCCCTTGTCCTAACATTTTTCCTTAAATTGGTTATTTTCAATATTTTTGCTTTTCTCTGTATCAGTTCATAATTTTTAAAATTTTATTGATAATTTTTGCCAAAGCGAAATCAAAATCGATAATTAGATAATATAACTTTTTTATCATATTATACTTTTGTATTAGTTTAAGTAATATTACATAAGCTTATCTTATCAATTTATGTAAATTTTATCTTGTATGAATTTTGGTTAAAAAAACTAATATGACATATCTAATTTATTATTTTAATATTTACCAAACATAAAACAAAATATAAATTTATCTTTTATTTAAACTTATTCTTATTTAACTCTTGTACTTTTTTTAATTATTCTATGGTATCTACTAGTCCACCTATAAGACATTTATAAATAGTAACTAGTAGGTGAGGAAGGCATTTACTTGAGTAGCTATGTGAGACGTGAGAAATTGAGAATGTTTGGTGGCAGAATATTCGTACGGCATTTCGATTCATTGCTACTGAAATAGTAGATATAACACATCAATTTTTGGGGTACTGATTTTAGGAATAAACTAAAAGATTGTCTTAAAAAATAAAGTATTTATTATATTTTTAGTATAATACATATTTTAAATAAAAAAAATTTGTTTTTGGAGAGTTAAAATCAGTCTTAAAAAATGATGCAAAACATATTTTTAGTAAAATATAATAAATTTAAACTTTCAGATGGTTAAAAGAATTTGAAAAAAATCTACTTACTCTAAAAGTAAATTTTAATTAATTTACTCTGCTTAATAATTATTTATAGAAAATAAATTTTATTCATCCAAATTGAAGGCTTCTCAAAAGTTATAGTTGACAAAATTTAAAGAATTATTCGATATTTCATCATATAATTGTCCAAAATTTAGGGAAGGAACCATTTAAAAGCGTAAGATTATAATTTCATCTATCATAAGTTTTTGAGTAAATCATGGCTCAGAATTTTTCCAACGAAAATTCAAACGCCGCAGTTGAAAGAGAACTACGCCAGCAACTGTCCGTCCATTGGATAAAATTATTTGGTATTAACAAATTTTTCATATTATGGGTATTTTAAAATTTAAATATACAAATTGAAAGAAACATTATTTAAAGAAAATTTTAATTTATCTGTATATTAATGTACACGTGTCCCTTTCTTCTCAATCCTATTTTTCTCTCAAACTAAACATTTTTTTTCTTTTTATTTTATCCTTATTGGATAGTTACAATGTCTTTCACTCTTTCTACATAAAAATTTCATCTTTTTAATCTTTTTCAATGTTTGTTCTTCTTCTAATGTTTTTATCACTCCTTAATATTGGAAACCCATTATTCTTTTACCTTTTATACTTGTTTCATTCACTCTTTTTTCTTTTACATCGATATGCAACTGATCAAAAATAATAACTGTTGAAGGCGTTTTTGCACACCTCTGCTTCTAAGCAATCCTTGTTTACCTCCTTTTTCAAGCATTATTATTTTCAGGTGTTCTTTCGTGCTTTATTGTATGCACATGAGAAGATCTTTTGCTTGCCCGTGTTTAATAGTTTTGAGTTTGATACAGGACTTATAGATACGATGAAGCTGCTTTGTGATTACTGTGAAAATAAGGAACGTTAATAATACGTTTTCTAGCAAATTCTTTTTAAGAGTACAAGTACAAAAATCTATGCTCATCATGCTACAGTAGTCAAAAGTGTGTTAAAAACAGCATTTTATTTATGAAAATTTGGACTTGTCACTATACTTCGTCCCTTCCATGATTTTGCATTTAATATATATTTTGTACAAAGCTCCCCTTCTCTCGAAACAAACCGACAAAGGTGCCTTTTGATTCCCTTTCCCTCCTCTCCATCAAAATTCCTCCATTTCTCTCTTTTGAACAAAACAGTGTTAATCAATGCCTTTACAGTTCTACTTAACCCTTGCCTTAGTTAAGAAAGGCCAAAAAGTTAAATTGATGCATAAAGAAGGATGAACACCGTTAGAAAAAACTAAATTCTGAAATTACCAAAACAGCCAAACAATTCAATTGAAAGATGAAGAAACGGCTAGCATCCGTCAAAAGATGTGTAATCATCTTCATTATTCACAACATGTATCCCATCCTTTCCATCATTATTAGGCACCCAACAACACAAAAAAGAGCCCCTCCCTCAAATCACTGTTATGAGCACACTTTATGCCCCCCAAAAGTACCCCATTTACAACAATATCCCCGTCACAATTTGAGCATCATCTATTTACAGCCACAAAATTTTGCATAAATAAATAAATAAAAAAACACGTGGCTATTTCTCAACCGATCAAGTTGCCTAACGGGTGTCCTGCACTGCATTAAAGCAACTGATTTTTTTGTTCATTTATTTTGGCACATGTGACTGAGGGATAGGATCAATGTCTACTTGGTTGTTGCATCATGGAATTGTACGACCTGACATCATCAACACTCAACAGCGTAGGATAGACCTTAAATTGGTTGGTGGTGGGGTGTGTTGGGGGTCCAAATAAGGGAAATCAAATGGTCCCAACTCCTATTCCCAGCCAAACTATAACTACTTGGAACCTCATAAAATTTGAGAAAACAAAATAATTACAACAGGGTGTTGAGGTAGTGGACCCTTTTAGTTTGTCACCATCAGAAACACTCTTTGGTGGGTAATCATCATCTCTGGTGAATGTCAGCCAGAATTAGAACCCTTGGTGGCAGGAGGAATGCTGGAAATGCCTTGCCTTGAAAGCTCAGCCATCACACTATCTGTGGAAGGAGGTTTGAGGCCCAAAGGCAAGGGTAGCCATGGCTTGTTTATTGCCTCTTTCACAACTTTGTCAACTACCTCTTCTGCCTGCATGCATGCATGGTAACACACTTTATGGTAAGAGTTCATGGGGGGTTTGGTTTGGACTTCCATGGCATTACTAGTCAAGCTTTTGGTGAGTTAGGTAATTAAAACTCTTTTGAGTTCAGGCTCGTTCTTATGCAAGTTTAACTTCTTAAATTTGGGTTTGGGCCTAACTCAAAGCCAAAAGCTACTTTGTGAGATGATGATTACTTTTAACTTTTATAAGCTATACTTTGACTAAATCTATAATCAATGAGGGATTCAGCAAATTAGAACTACCGTGTGATTCAGCACTCGGAGAAAATTGCAATCTTCTAATATGATTGATTGGACATAAGATACATGGTCTTTTCGTACAAAGCATTTAGATAATTGGCATTTATAAGCATGGATGTTGTATGATGCATGTTAAGTAGAAAACATTTGAAATTTACTTCTCAATGTCAATGTACCAGCTATTTGTTGCAATTCTAGCAAGGGAGTAAAAAGTACTGAAGTTTCACTGACTTTTTAATCTTTCAAAGGCTTTTAATTAGAGTTACAATTTCATCTCAACATGAATTTCCACTAAGTGCCAACTAGAATCTATGTATGAACTGGTGACAGGCCAGTTGCTAACAAGATCAAGCAGAAAAAACACTGAAAGGTCAGTATTGAATTACCGGATAATGCTCGACAGAACTTTGTGGCATGCTACACGTGTGATCCACTGCATCAGCATTGAGCAATGCAGGCATATTCTGTGGTTTCATGACAATTCTGGTTAATATCATCCTGATAAATAATTTAAATAACTAGCAAAATGGAATTATGCAGGCATAGTCACATGGACCATTAGCACACAAAATAGCATAGTCATAGACAAAATGTTAAGACCTTCAGTTTGCCGATACTCACCGAAGAGTAGGGAAAGCAAGGAGCTTGAGGAGGCTGTACTGGTAACACTGGGCAGCCCCATGCATCTGCATGCATCTGCAACATCAAGTGATCAATAGTCAAATTGCATCCATAATCATAATTTCTCATCTCAAGCCAGAGAATGAGGTTGCTAATATAGAAGAAAAACTTCATATCTTGAATTCTAAACAAAAATATTACCCCTGGAAACGGTTTCCATTGCCAATTTTCGGTAGGCTGCTGCCACAAGGGATAACCAGGAGGGTGCCAAATATGCATGCCAGCTGTTTGATTGCCAGATTGTCCCCACATAGGATATACAGGAGCCAGAGAAAGGGTGTGATTAGAATGATATGGAGGAAAGGCCATAATTGGTCTTTGAAGACAATAACTCCTTTGCATTGTATCTCTTTGATTCAACCATTTACGATCATCTTCCTTGGGCAAGATATGTCTCTTATGCATTCTATACTTCTGTTTTAACAAAAAAAAAACACTTATAGAAAGTCTAAGCTAGATACATAGATATACGAATATTGTTTTTCTATTACCAGTACCAGAAATGTAAATAATGACCTGAAGATGGCTTGCCACATTATGCCTTGTCAAGCCCTCCACCTTCATTAATTCCAATATTCGAGAAGGAATGGCTTGATCAATGCCTAGTTGTTCCACTGCCTTCACAAAATTTTTGTGCAGCTCAGGCGTCCAGTCTACCTGAGACCAAAACCAAGTGCCAAAACTGTATTTAGACAATCAGAATCGCCAGATCACTTATAAAACAAACAAATAAACTTATATAGCTGCAACTTGGATAAAAAATGAAGAATTCAAGACTAGAACTATTTACTAAAACGCTTAAGACCAGATTGAGGTCTCATTAGCTGATGCAATTACAGTTTGTGGACACTAATATTCAAGTTTAATAATTAAGTGTATATGGATCATAAATTACTGCTTTGGTCTGAACACTCTGCCAAAGAATTTTATCATAACTAGAAAACACATTCTACTTTGTACTGATACAAGGAGAGGCGATGATTGGAATAATGCTGTTTAACAAATCTGTTTCAATCAAAATCTCGAAGCGAAGAGTCTTTCCTAGATTTCCCATCAGAGTGTAGTTAAGATTTGACAATTATATTACAAGATTTCCTGTAATTACTTCATGATTATGAATATGGAATGAAGATATGTCTGAGTATTCTTGATCAACTCCAAGAACACAGACAATTGGGAACATTGACAGATTAAACAAGAGTATGGAAACATTTTTCAGTTATGTGTGCCATGCAATCATCGAAATTTATGAACAAAAGTACAGGTAGGAGGGTTAGAGGAACAGGGACATTCTAAGAAGAATGAGTAGTCATAAAGCAGCTTACTTTCATCTTTTTGCGATTAATTTTTATTTCATATGAATCACCATGAATGCCTACTTTATTTGAAGATGTTGTATGTCTTTCAATGTTGCTGACACCTTTTGTATTTTGAGTATGTGGAGAAGCAATACTCTCATTCTTGGAAGCATCAGCAAAATCCTCTTCATCCTTAACCGAAGTGCTTTCGGATTTCCTTTGTTGAGGAGTACTTTCAGCATTCAAATTTCCACATGTAGTTTCGACAAATTTAGATTCTCCATCATGTTCCCCCCCACTTTCTTTTTCTGTTGAGCAATTAGTCTGCTCTTGGCAATCACCATCATCCAACAATCTTGTCCCTTGTTCCAATTGTGGGGTTGAAGGAGCTGGATATTTATCATTTCCAGGAGACTGCTCATGGTCGTCATTATCAGTAAACCTGGATCCATTTTCAGAGACTCTACCTTCATGTTGTTCGTTGTCTGTTTGCAACTTGGCCATTACAGTTTCTTTGATTGGTTTTAGTGATTCAGACAGGATGCTTTCCCCAGCACTGAATGCCTGCTCGAGTTTAATCACATAAGAAACCATTTTGCACATATTATGTTAATAGAAATGACAGTGTAATATTGCCAATATCAACAGACCTTGTGAACCACATGCTGCCAGATATTTCTGAGCTTGTCCTCGGAGAGTGGTTTGTTGAGGAACTCAACTGCACCAAGCTTAAAAAATAAATGGAGCAAAGAGTCAAAAGGAATGCATGAACAATCAGAAAGAATAAAAATATACTCTTTCTAATGAGTTGAAGATCAGATTCTGAGTAAATATTGAACTGAAGATCCAGACAAGTTATATCAGTGCAATGATTTTAAAGGAGAAGCTAAAAATTTGGTCTATAATTTGAATGAATGAAAAGCTTAAATTAACATAATACAATAAAGAAAAGAGCCAAAACAATGTAATAGAATATCGTAAGTAGCCCAAGGAATATTGGCAAAACTAAAATTTTACCGCTATGCACTTCATCATGGTGTTCAGGCAATGATTGTTAGAAGTCACTGCATCAAAAATTGTATCACTGGTTAGAAGATTTACACTGAGCAGAAAACAGCCCTGAAGCAAACTTTTTCCCATATTTGCTATGGTCCTGTTTTTGTTAACTTTTCGAGAAGTCTTTATAGGAGAAAAAATTAGTATAAAAAATTAAAAAAACTTCTCTTATAAGTTAGAAATAACTTATACTTCTCTACTGTTTTCTATTGTTTTCAGGAGTTCTAGAAAGTTCTCTCATTTAACTACTCTAAAATTTAAAAAGATAAGTTGTTTTAACTTATGAGAGAAATTTTATTCATTTTTTATACTGATTCTATATTCTATAAGGATTTATTTATAATTTCACCCAAACAAGGCCTATGTCATGTTATGTTCTAGATCATTCATCAATTTCAATAGGTATAAGCTACTAGAAAAGAAGGATTGCAGATATAAAAAAATTAGTAGGAAACATTCACAAGGAAAATAAAAGAAAAGAGGAAAAAAGAAGCTTGTAATTATTACTATTATCCAAAACCTATGTATATGTGATAGCAAAAATTGTACTTGAAAGGAAGTGATGTTTCTCTCCATATTTGGAACTGGCTTTGGTTCAGCACTCACACTAGATAATTGACTTGTAAATGCCATTAAAACAGAGTAAACATTGGAGGTTTAAAGGACAAAAAGAAGTTAAATAGGTAAATTTGGGTTTTGTTTCGGTACTTACTAATGGTTGGCAAGTCCTTGGCATTCTCAAGAAATTTGAAACCTCCCTGGCTGCTTGAACTCACCTGTAATTAGGGTGGATGCATATGGTTAATATAACATCATCGAAGAAGCTTTATTTTAACAACCACAAGATTAAGAAATAGAACTCGCACAAAAAGATAAAATAATTGTCATGATATTTCAGGAGCAAAATGTATAAGATGATAAAAGTCATTCGTCTTGACTAGCATTTCAGAAATTTTAAGATAAGTTGCGTCTTTGATAGAAGTTTATGTTATTGCCTAAAGTTTGGCAGCAACTAATGATACAGGAGTATCACTCCTCCACCGAGATGTTCACTTTATTTTCAACAAGCATACTAGATATCATTTAAAAGTTTCTTTTCTATTTTCAAATTTTAATGTTACTACATTAAGATTCTTCATTTATGTAGAAAGCGAAAGTTCATTACCTCCACTATGGCAATGTGGAAGCTTTCAGGTCCACTTGAGATTGCTGACAAGGCTTCATTCACATCACAGAAAGTATAAACTGTGCAGAAACTCCAAGGCTTACTAAACAAATTAATAGAGAGGACAAGCATATGTATAGGAAACAAGAATGGGAGAGATGAAGGAGACTGGGAGTAGAGTAAAAGAACCATGTGACTTCAATAAAAATCAAATTATACTTAAGCTGATCCTTAAAATATAATTTCAGTCAAACTTGCATTGATGGATGCTTTTGTTTCTCAGAATAAATTCATGTTTTCAGTGGCTTGCTAATTCATGTTGGCTGTGAAACTAAAAGGCCATAGAATGTACAAATATAGTGTAGATTTGGTAGTTCATAGTTGGATAACTGCCAATTCTTTTATACTTCATATCTTCACAATTTGGACCATACTCAGTTTTGAAAACACTTGTAGTTTAAGCATGACTGAAAATAAGAAATACCATTCATGGAAACCCTGAGCATGGAAAAAAGGAAAAGGCTATTCTTTCAAATTCCTAGCCTCCACAAAGCAACTAAAATGTGAGACCACAATTTTACAAATAACCATATAAGGATTCTAAAGCAATGATGCTTGGTAAGATGCCATGGTACAGAAAGATGGGGACCAACTTCACTCACTATGGACCATAAGTCGGAATTGGTAGATGTAGATAAAGAGGTGAGACATGTCAAAACAAAAAGAAGGATTCCAAAAAGTCTTACCATTATAGTCCATGGCCTCAAGCTTTGCTCTTATCTCGGCAGCAGAAGTTCTGTCTCCCTCAAGGAGAAGAACCTTGAGCCCTTTGGGAAAATCTTTCCATTCTTGTAAATCATTGGCAGTGCAAACCATAGCTGGCTTGGCATCGTTCTCAGCCTCCCACAGAAAGTAACAGATCAACACTGCTTATCAACATCCAATTCGTTCTGCAAAACCATGCCACCACAAGCTTGATTTAGTGAGCTAGACTTCAGTATAAAATTACACAATACTAAAAGAACAAAACAAAAAGAAACTCCGCGACTTCAGTATAAAATTAAACAACACTAAAAAACAAAACAAATAGAAACTCCACTGTATACTCAAAATTTGTATAAATGGTAAAAAGTTTCCAAATAGCAAGAAGATAATGCAGAACAGTGGCATGCCATCTAAAGATAAACCCCAAAACAAGGTTCAGATCAAAACTAACATGCCCTCTGATCACTAATGACACAGCTGGTAAATCACAAAAACATAATCCCACTAATTTTTCAAGAAGCATTATCCATACAAAACAAAATCTAAACCCTCTCCTTTCGTATATAAAGATCTCATTGGCATGCCACTTTCACAGGACAGCAAATAGACAAATACCCCAGTAATTAAGATCTCATGAAGACCAAAAAGAAAAGCTCAATTATCATGAACGATCACAAAACAAGAAGAAAACTTTACAACAAAGCAAGTCAGGTAGAAATCCAAGCAATTCATAACCTTGAACCCAAACATAAGCAGAAAGCTCAAATGGGTAGACATGCATGCGCATATCACAATCCAAAAAATACACAAAACCAAAAACCCATCTGAATTATGCAAAAATGAACACCCATGCACATAAAAAAAAACATACTAGAGGGAGAAAAAAAATGCTCCTTATGAAACCATTCTCACTACCTTGACATAAAAGAAAATGCTTCTTCAATTTCATTGCTTCTCCTCTTATTGCATTGGTACAAAAGCAAAGTGTGAAGAGAGATAATACGAGAGAGAGAGAGAGAGAGAGAAGAAAAGATAAGAGAAAGTGAGAGAGGTTTAAGTGCTGGGTTTGGAGGGTGCGTTCTTGTCCTGTGACTACTGAACAGTTGCCATCAGCCGTTACGGACCACAAGTAAGCTCTCAAAAAGGTCAATGAAACTTTCTGCCACTTCTTCAAAGGTTAATAATATTCCAATACTACCCTTCTTCCGAGGGTGGTGCTCTAATACATCTACCTCCAACTTCACACACTTCACCAATCCACCATGTAAACGATGGTTGCAGAAAAACACATGCTTTACTTAACTCATTTAAAGTAAAATATTTGAAGCGGACTATGTTGTTTACAGGTTTTACTATTTATGATAGAGTAAGGAAACTGCTTCCCATGTCTCCTCCTCATGAGTGCCATTTATGGGCTTCTTTTTATCATAATTATTGTGCATTTAAAGTTATTGTACATCTAATTATTGTACCTTTATGCTCTCCGGTGGAATCTAAGATGAGTTAAGTTACACTACAGCAATAGTTCTCATCATATTTACAAAAACTAATATTTAATTTATTAAAATTAATACAAATAATTATATATTATAAACTTATAAATTTTATTTTAAAATATCTACGGTAGTAATTGATATCTTACATGTTAAATAAATGAATATGTTCACTTATTTAAATAAAAAGTAAATATCTTATTAACATTAATTTTACCATAAATAAATATAAAATAGTTGAGCAATTAATATATTCATAAATTAGTCTTTATTTTTTATAATTAAAAATATTAATAATTATTTCTTATAAATATATCAAAAATAGTATTTAAATATTTGACTTATGTAAAAAAATTATAAGTAATTGTTTTTTAAAAGAAAAAAGATATATATTAATTTTATATTTCAATATAATACATTTGTTTTTAGTGATTTAACGTGCTCATGTTAATAAATATGAAAGAAAAATATTTATCAAAATAGGAAAAGTCAACAAATTTTAATGTACACAAATGTAATGATAAATTTAAAGTTAACTAAGATGAAGGGAGCAGAAACATAAAACATATACTTGTACACCCTAAACTTGTTACAAAAGTTAAATGAGAGGAACACTCCTTTGAAAAACATTCAGCACTTAATCAATAAAAAGACTGAAAGTATAACTAAATTGTAATTAAAATAACTTATTTTTTTAAGTTTTGGAAAAATTAAATGAAAGTAATTTTTAAAAATAAAAAATAGATAAAGTTAATTTTAACTTATAAAGAAATTTAATTCATATTACTATTTAATTTTTTACTCTTATAAGTAATTATTTTAAAAAATTATCTAAAATTAACCATTTTAATCCACATCTTGTGGAATAAGATCTTATTAGGAAATGAAAGAGCATAAAACTAAGAGGCAAAGCTAGAGCACACATTATTCAAAACGTGTATAGCAAGAATTAAAGGATGGCAACAAGAAAGATCATTTATGAATAAATTTAAGGTAATCGGGTGAGATATGATACTCAAATACTGAAACCACTCAAAGAAGATATACCTGAAAACAGGCTAAACCCTTTGAGGAATAATAGTTTATAATCGTAGGTTCAACCAATGAATCTTATAAAAGCTATTGCACCTAATTATTTTAGGTGAATTCATCAGGAAAACTTGGATCTCGAATTTTACCGTGGTTGAGCTTATGCTAAATCCCTTGTGCGTTGTGCTAATGAGTTCATAAATTTAAAACGAATTTTTTAATATGTATTTAGTGATAACAATAAAAAATTATTTATAATAAAATTTTTAAAATAATTACATAATTTAATACATTAAAAATTACATAATAACTTTAAATGCAAAATTGTTAAAATGGACGACCTTACATTGTCTAATATAGATAATGTACCAGATAGAGCACTACTTGGACTTACCCTTAGCAAAAAGGTAACAAAGTACCCTCAGACAAAATAAGTCAAACCTTCTGTTGGTCTAAAGACAATCAGTGAGAACAATCAATATAAGCTGACTCAACAAGTCCTTTAGCTCATAATTCAAAACCAATGAGCAAAGCCTATTAGCCAATAACATTTCTTATAAAAGGGAGGTAAAGGGTACAAGTAAGACAGATTTGAATAAATAATAGAGAACTCTCGTATTCAAGGACAGATACCTGATTTCAGCATCGGAGTACTTTTTGCAGGTACCCTTTCCACACAATACGGCATTAGCAGTACAAGGAAGAATATCACGCCTCCCGAGCAGAGATCAGCAGACGAATATTTTCCTAACAGGAACAAGTAACAAGTTTAAACGGATTAAATTTATTTAATTTAAAATAAAATAAAATTTATATTTTTACTCTGTAAACCTAACTCTATGGTAGTTACAGATTTTTATGAATTAACTTAACAAGTTAAATATTTTTTTTATTATTATTTTTTATGTTTATAATAGGCTATTTTTTTTTTTACTTTTTTTATAACATACCATTATTTTTTTTTCTTTCTGTTTTTAGTTTTTATAATGGATTATTTTATATTGTTTTTGTAATAGTCTAATAGGCTTTTTTTTTTCAATTTTATATTAAACTATTTTTTAAATTTTTTTAAATTGTAATATATCACTACTTTTTTTATTTTTGTAACAGCTATTTTTTATTTATATATACATAATAAATCTACAAAAATATAAATAATTTTATTATATATCCTCAAACACATTATAAAAATCAAATTAGAAGTGCTGAAAAAAACTTATTTTTGACTTAAAAATAAACTGACACGATCAACCATGTACAGACTATGAATTTCCCACTGCTAAAGGATAATAGGACACGATCATGTCTTAAAGGAGATTCTTTTTTCATTTTTTCTTTTTTCTTAAAAAAATCTCAGAAGTCATGTCGTGATTTTACAGGGTGATGTGATTCATAAATTTTACAACTTTTGAAAATAGTTTTATTGTGATTTACTGAACATATAACATGTCACTTATCATTTTAAAACGATCGTTGAGATAGCATAATTAAATGTATATTGCGTCATCATACAATAATAATATGTTATTTAAAAAAATTAGATTATAAATATTCAAATTAATTTTAAAAATTAAATATTTAAAAGGAAAACCTTTGAATAAAGGGAGAAAATTGGGTTGAGTCACCCACACAAAGAGAAAAAGGATTTTAGAATATTGAGGTTGTCTTTCATACTGTGAACCTCTAATTTCAGTTACAAACATAAATAATTGTATGCATGACACAGTACGTAATTACCTTTTTTTCTATAGTTGCATTGATTTATTAAAATTTTTCAAACAAATTTTGTTTTCACAAATTATTAAAATATAATTCTAAAAATTAATTAACTTCTATTGTTACAGCATTACTCACAAAAAGCGTGCGTGGGCTTTATATTCAAGAAGTCATGTATTTAGTAAAATTACTTTTATATTTATTACATGTATTTTTTAATATTAAAATTATTTGAGAATGATGGATTATTTTATATGTACTTTCAAATTTTGTTATTTTTGTATTTTTTTAATGCATTGTCTATGTAAATATTTTTTTTAATAGAATAATGATTACAGTGTAATTATTTTATAATAATTAATCTAAAAATCATATTAAGAGTGTATTCTAATTATGTTAAAGAAAACTATATATGTATATAAATCAAAGATGATTTTATTATTGTTAAATATTTAAGGACTTCATTAGGTAAGTCTTAAAACTTAAAACTGTGACAAGAAAATTTGTCATCCTTAAGATCATATAATGTCAAACAAAATATATTTATAAATGAACCAGAATAAATTGTATTGTATTAAAGAAACCCTCACTAGCAAAGTCAAAAGCATAAACAAAATCCATCAAGAAGATTCATAATAGAGGTCTCAACAAAAAATGCTTGAAATGAATAACTTGCATGGGTTAAATATGGATCTTAAATAAAAGGTTATATGAGAATCATCACAGCTTAAGAAAGTCAGCTAAATACAACAAATTATAACTTTTTGTTTTACTAATATTATTCATATAAATAAAATTTAACTACTATAAATAAAATAAAAATGTTAAAGTAAATACATTTTAGTTAATATTATTTTTATTAAGATTTATATAGATTATTTTATATTTAAATAAAATATATAAAATGGAAATTATAATTTTTTAAGATATGTAAAGTAAATTTTTTTCTTTATTACAATTTTGGTATTTCTTATTATAATTTTTAAGAAAATAAAAAAATTTAAAATATGAAAAAATATATTTAAAAAGTTGACAATACAAAAGGTAAAGAAATAAAAAAATTATATATAAATAAAGTAAATGAAAGATAATAAATTAAATTTTTAAAAAAATATACAAGTGAGGCTTTTTTTATTGCCTTATCTAAATCATGTATATTTTTTTATTGAATGCAATTTTATCTGAGTCAAGTGAAATCATTAAAAGAAAGTACTAAAATTCTTCCTTCAAATATTTAGTATAATTACATTTATTAGAATTCAATCTTAAAACTATTAATTAAATTAAAACAATTTTTTGCTGATTAATCATCATGCACTGTGGTACCATAATTAAAATTTATGTCTTATTTTTTTAATTTAAAGTCATGTTAATTCATTGAAAGGCATTTAAGTTTCAATATATTTTTGTCTTTATATTTTAATAATTTTTTTTGGTCTTTTCAATTGATTTTTTATTTTATTTTAGTACCTTACTTTTTTATATATTAAGAAAAACAAATAAGCGTGGCATGTAGGGCGATACAACATTACCAACGAAAACAGAAAGAGGTCTTTATGTAATTTGAAGATTGGTGATCAAGGGAATGTAGTTAAAAGGCACTAAAAGTTTTTATAAAATAAATTAAGTTTACAAAAAATAAACAAATAAAAATAGTTAATTATTTATTGAACAATTTTATTTTGATCTCTAATATATATTTTTAAATATAAATAAATATTGATATAAATTTATATATTTATAAAAATTTAATTTATATAAAACTTAATATGCGAGATGAATGTAAACATAAAATCTTATTTAACAAATGAATTAACAAAACTTAATATTTTTAAAAAGTTATTAAGTAAAATAACTCTAAGTTAGAGATGTTCCTAAGTTAATTTATTCTCACTCATCTAAAATACACATTTAAATTAGTTTTAACTATAAATTTATATTAAGATACATATATTTTTATTAAAATTATGGAAATTGTTTTGTAATGCCAAAACAAAGAGAGTCAGACATTCGCGGGCATTCAACCATGACAAGTATCACATGTATATATATTATTGAAAAAGAGAGATACGTACACCATGCAAAAGATAAAAGCAGAAAAGTTCATCAGAAAAACACTCACTCTGAATAATGTTTGTGACTTTTTTTATTATTTTATTTTTAGTGAGTTATTATAACATTTTT